TTCCTCAACAGCAACCCAGTAAGTTCAGGTGGTATCCCTGGACCTGAGTCGAAATCTCCTCAGGGAGCTTCCCAGTTCCGACTCCTGGCTTCCGCAGCCCAACTCTTTGGACTACCTGAGACTTGGTATCAGAGGGCTTTTCCCAGTCAGGCTTTAGGGGTTCTATTGGGATATAGGGGCTATATTGGGATAATGGAAAAGAAAATGGAAACTATGGGGATTATATAGGGTTGAGCCTTGGCATCAAGGATTGTCTAGTTAGGGCCTTAGGATTTGGGGCTCATAGGCTTTTGGGCCAGCTGCAGAGAGGTGAACCAACTCAACCCCTGCCCCATTAGGGTTTTCGGGTTTAGGGATGGTAAATTGTCTTTTATACTGTTTGTGGCCGCTGCCCGTCAATGTGCTGACAGTGCCCAGGGTTAAGACATGCTGTTCTTGCTGGAGTGTATCCAAATTCGAAACCCACGGCGCCTAAAATATCCCAAACAATGGAGCCTCCTAATAATCACCTAGTTTCCCAAATGTAGTAATGGGTTTGTATTGGGGGGGGGGTCTTTTTTTTGGATCCTTTAGGGTGTCTGGGAAGCTGGTTTAGGGTGAAACCACGCAGAGTCGCTTACCTGAGATCTTTGCGTAGCATTGCATATGTGAGGTCAACCCAGAATGTCTACATTAATGTAGACCTCCTATTTATAAACCCCCCTCCTTAATAGGGGCTGGAATGCCGTTCCAAACTAACAAAACTTAAAGCACCGCTGTGAGACAGAGATTGACCAGACCTCGGGTGGACCCAAGCAGAGGGATTGCCCTGACAATCCGCTGCTAAAGCATTGGAACAGAGTGTGTTTGGTTGCAGGCTACGTTTTACATCCTGCATGCCAGCTGGATTTTTGAGGAACCCCTAAACTTCCTCAACTCCCTTCGCCTGGAGCGAGTCTTGCCCTGTACCATCCGAAGCCATCCCGAGCCCAGGACAGTTGCCGACAACCAAATCAGCGCTTTGGGCTATGCAGCCACAGCTTTTTCGGGGAAGATGCACAAAGCACTCATTTTCCGGGCTCCTGCTACTGTATTATACGGACTACACGTGCAAAGGTAATGGCTCTATCCCTGGCGAGGGCGCTACAATGAAAAAAAGCCCGCCATAACTTTAGCATACAAGCTTGAAGGCGAAGAAAGAAGTACTGCAAACCAGGTGCAAGACACCAGACAAGCCCAAACAAATACGTTGAAATGCCCCTGCCACTTGCAATTGGCAACAGCCAGCACCAAGTTCACCTGCAGCAAAAAAGGATCATGCCTAGTATCGTGACTTGCCGTGCTTTCCCACGTTCCGCACCATGCGAACACCATGACTCCACCGTGATCATGGTCATGGCTGTTGACCATCACCCCATTCATCTTCGCGAAAATGCTCAGCCACTTGACCCTGAACCCTAAACCCTCGCATGGATTGTCCGCATGACTGCATGCTTGCAGAACTTCTTAACAATGATACGGTAGTTTCCATTTTCCATTTTCCTTCAACCCTATCTACCCTCATAGAAACTCTTGGGTAACGGCAGTCTGGCAGTCCAAGGCGCCCTCGGCACGCGGCTCTTCCGTCGTTTTTCAGACTTGGACTGGCTGGACCTCAGTGGGAACCGTCTGGGGCTATTGGAGACCGAGCCTAGTGCCAGATCTTAAGCCCTACAGGCTAAAGGGTTTATAGTCCCCCTTAAGTAGATAGAATATGGGGTATATGGGGGTCTTATTACAATATACAGTACCCAACAGCCATATTCTATCTACTTAAGGGGGACTAAAGGGTTTATAGGGTTTAGGGTTCACGGAAACTGTCTGGATTTAGGGTTGAGCCCCAAACCTGGTTTCCTACATTGGGGATTCCACGTCACGGCCTTAGGGCCCCTGCAAGGGCAGTTCCGGAAGAACCCCGTCTGTCGGCTCCTCATGTTTTTGTTGTCTTTGCGTCCCTACTGAGGGGTGCAATATTCAGAGGTGGGTTTGGGGGTTGTTTCTCTTTCTGCCGACGGTTGCTCAAAACTACCAGTCAGTAAGGGGTTACCTTTTGGATCCTGGATCAGATTGATTTTTTTTGGGGAAGCTTCAAGACATCTTAGGCTTAACAAAGCAGCAGGCTGCATAAACAGTTGGCCCCTTTGACACTTGAGGAATCTCTGGATGGCATTGAGGATCTAGACAACCTTCTTCTGATTGGAAACCCGTGCCGTGCTTGCAGGATCAGCATAGTCTTTTTGGGTGGAGGTCTCAAGTATTTTGTTTCCTCGTGAGGGCTGCATGCACGCTCTCCCTGAGCTTGGCATAGCGTACTTGCATGTGAATGGGTTCTACGGAGTATGGTCAGGGATGATACCGGAACTTCCATAAGGGTCGTTTGCATCATTCCCCGCTAGCCAACCAGACCCAATGTTCTGCAAGGAGGGCACTTTGCATCCCCTTCAGTAGGATCCTGCGAAGCAGTGGCACCGCAGTCTTCTTTTGAGACAGCGTGGTGTGGTGCTTGAAGCTGGCATTTCAGTAGTTCCTAATGGCTTTCCACAACTATTGAAACCAGCTCGACTACGGGTTCACCAGAAGTGTAGTATAGGTTCCAACATCTAGGCTGCTACGCTTGAGCTGCATAGGTGATCATAGCCAGCCCTGAAAGCCTGAAGCAACATCAGAAAATGGAGGCAGCTACTAAAATCTTCCCCCTGCATTTTCCACTCCTCAAAAGGGCAAGATTAGGGGGGTGGGGTCTGCTAGAATGACAAGAGCAGATGACAGGCTGGAGTGCCGCATCCCCATCGCGGGCTCCTGCTTTTGCGCCGGGGACTGCTCTGCCAACTCCACGGCAGAGGACAAGGAGGATGACGCAGACGACGGAACACTTCTTAAAGTACCTGCGTTGTGGTGCGAGCTGCCGATGTGCATCAACGGTTCGAACTCTAGCCAGGATGCCTCCAATACGCAACCGCTGCAAGATTCAGCACCACAGAAAAACATCAGCCAAATCCCTTTGAATGGATCTAATGAGACGTCCGGCATCTCCGCCAGCAATGTGACCAACAGTGGAGCCAGCAATGTGACCAACAGTGGAACCGGCAATGGGACCAACAGTACAAGTGTCTGGTCGGAACTGAAAAACCCCAAGTTCCCTGCGTACAAGCTCTAGCAGCTCTGCTTTGCCTGCGCATGTGTGCAGCATCTGACTTTCGCAGAAGCCACGTGGCAAAGCTTGGCCATGGTCAAAACCTCGATTCGAGAGCGTTCTGTGCATCTGCTTCCAGCTGAGTGGACGTTCATAGTAGTTGATGGTGTACTGGCAAGACATCCAACACTATTTCTGTGTCTAGGGAATCTGGGCATCAAGGTTCTCCTCTGTGATCACAGTGTTGTGATTCGCGACTGGCATCATTCGAGCTGAAACACCGCTAAACTTACTTCTCTCATCCTGGCTGGTCGATGTGACATATCTCTAGCTGCAGGAGTCTACCCACCTGATGCGTGGTGTGGGGAAAGTAAAGCATGACGTCATCAAATGGCATGCTAGCAAAGTACGTATGGTTAGCGAGTAAATTTTTGCCAGCGCAGCTAACACACGTGGCTCCCTTACTGGACATATTCCACGCTTAGATACTGAAGAGACAGGTTGTTACACAAGCCCTGCCTTGGGAAGGTAGGTCTGAAACATAATATGCTTTGCTGGACCTTTGTTGTGTCACATAGCCGTGCCGGGATACCTACAGTTTTAAGCCTGCGCAGGATACATTCCCAAACCCTCCAGCGGCCCACAAGATGGCCCCACATTCGGACCTTTCTCTGACGCAAGACTGCACTTGATGGTTTGAAGTTCGCGGTGTATGCGACCAACAGTTTCCCCCGCAATGTGCGACGTCCCCCCTGTGAACCCACTTATGTTTAGTCTAGTAGTCCTCTCAGGCTCTGTAACGTTTCACAAGAAAAGCTCTTTTGCCAGGTGTACAGTGCAGCTACCAAGCTACCCGCGACGAAGGAGGGCGAATCAGCAGATGGAGGCTGGGCTTGGAGTTCATTTGCTTATAGGGCTTCTGCCATACTTTCATATACTATAACCTACCATAATCCATAGTATACTATAATATATTATACTTATTATACTATACTTTAATACACTAGGATATAGCCATAGGCCCTTGGGTCCTGGCTTCCCCTAAAGTCGCCACCGGTTCTCGCTTCTGGCTCTCACCTCAGTATAAGCCGCTCCCATGCTTCAACATGGTAGGCCGTGGATTCAATAACAAGAGTAGTAATAAAAGTAATCATATCGTAATAATTGCCCAAGAGCCAGCAAAGTGGGATGTGCTGCTGTTTGGGTGCTGAAAGGTCTTTTTGCTACAAAGAAAACAGCCAGAATAATGTCGGTACTGGAATTGCCACCCCATCTTGGTAAGTAAAATTGAGCCTTATGCTCATGAAGCCAGCAAAAAAAGTGGAATTCGGATTTTTGGAAATGTATAAGATGCCACGCGGAGTCTTCATACGTCCAGGGCAAATCCAGACGTCTTCGGCTTGAGTTACTTCAAAGCTCAGGCACATTCGCAGTCTCGGGTCTTTGTTGATGTTTATAACATGCACCACGCTCTCTTCATCATCTATGCGTATACTGGTATGCACCAGCTTTGCTGTTGACATCTTTGTCGTAAGGTGATGCAGCGGTTCCTGAAGAACAAGCTCAGGAGGCCAGCTAAATCTCAAGTGGGATTTTGAAGGATGCGGTTTCTCTCTGCCTAGCGGTGAAATAGCCTGTACGTCGCCTGTACACAGCCAGGGAGCTCCTCTAATGCTTCCAGGAGTTCATGCTGACATCAGGTTGATTTTTTGTCGGGCTCTGAAGGGCTTTGTTGCGGCCTCGGACTTCTTCTTTGGCAGCTGCTATGGAATGTTGAGTTCTCTCCCAATCAGGTACAATAAGGTGCTCGTGTATTCCTTGCTATGGTTTGGTTTCCATCTTCTGCAGATAGTGCATCTGAGCCACGTAGTTAAGCGCCTGCCTTTCCCCAGCCCATTCAAAGTCATAAAGTGTAAGCGTGTAGAAAGTCATTACGTGTACCTCCTTAAAAACTTGGGAAAAGCCCCATACCATCCCAACACATGCCCCATGCCATGCTCTCACACGGATAGCCATCTTGTCCCAAGATTATGAACTTCCTCCCAGACTAGGAAAGGAAGATCCCAACACCCCAGTCCTTAAAACCCTCAAAATCTAAAGATCCCGAGAGAGGATGAACGCCCTCAAGCCTTCAAAACTTAAATCCAGATATCCCAGGCCCTTAAAAGCCTTTTAATCCTAAACCAGGAATCCCTAACTCCTAAATGCCTAAACTCTAAGCCCCCTGACCTCTAAGCTCTAAACCCGGTCCACCCCAAACGGGCTGCAAGGTGGAGGCAGCCATGGACGATGCCCTGCCGCTGTTCCTTTGTGCCGTTTAAGGAACTTAGATTAAGTTACCATGTTATGGATGTATGGGTATATAGGGTTGATAGGGCTTAGGGTTCAGGAAGTTCCCATTGGGTGTACCATATTATGGGGTATATGGGGTTCGGGGTGCAGGGCTATTGGATTGCTGTTAAGGAACTCTTAAATTAAGTTTTAAAGTAAGGGAGCCCTATTATTTGCCCTATTGTGGTTGCATCGGGTTTATAGGGTCTAGGGATGGGAAACCTTATCATCTACCACATGCCCGCATCATGGTAACTTAATGTAGGTTTGTCACCAGCGATCCAGGTTCTTGAAGACCGCCTGGTCCTATGTCAACCGAGACATCGACAAAACGGCTACTGGACTGAGAGTTAAGGAGTTAGGGGTGTAAGGGTTAGGGGTTCGAGGGGTTAGGGGTATTAGGGTTTAGCGTTTAGGATTAGGCATTTTAGCCCACGAGGATTAATTCGTTGTGTTTTGTGGTGTCGGGTTTATTTGGCTTAGGAGTTCGGCTTCAGGCCCTGGTGGTTGTATGCCTGCGCATTGGGGCTCAGGGTCTATAGGAGGATCCAGAATTAAAGAAAGCCCATATACCGAATGTCTAAAAATAGTTGGGTTGGGGTAGGCTTTCTGCATCGGTTGTATCTCATAAGCGATAAAGTAATATTTTATATAACAGAATACAGTACAATATTGTTGGACCTTCATTAAACTGGCCCCCCCAACAATGGATTGTTTTGAAAGGGATGGTCTGGATTCGGTCCCGTATGTTTAGGGCCCCAATTCAAAACACATTAGAGAAGGTCTCTTCCCGAAAGTCAGTCCAACATTATAATATGGTATCTACGGCTTGTCATGTAGTGACGGAGGTCACGCCCTTTAAACGCGCCTGCCCAAGAGCGCGCATCTCCTACCCCAGCCCTGAAAGTGCGATATGTGCAAACAGATTTTCTGTACATTCTCATGAACAACCCCCTGCCCCTAACATTAAACCTCCCCACCCCTCTAATAGTCAATACTTCCCATTTCGGTATATTACGATATATATACATATATGGCACATTTAGTTTAGGGGAGGTTAATATCAGCGGCAGGGGATGAGTTGGGACATTTTCATGCTTTGGGAAGGGACTGTTAACCTGACAGCCTCAAATCCTCGGCGTAGATCCGACTGGGTTGCCCTTCATGAATTTTATTCAAGCTATTATACTGGGAAAACCATATAAATTACAAAATATACCAACTATGGTAACTTAAATTAAGTTCCTTCACAGCAACCCAGTAGGTCCGACTCAGAAGATCCCTTTGAGGTGAGGGAGGTGGGAAGAAAGTTTCTCCAAGACAAGTCTGTGCCAGCGACTTGGGAGGCTTGTTTGGGGTTCCACGGACACTGAGGGTTTTTGTAGGTGAAGTTTGGCCTTGGTCCTGTTTTCAGAACAGGCTTGCAAGTTGCACACGGCCGGCTGAAGAAGCAGGCCAAGTGTCATTCTCGTCGTTGCCACTGCCATATATAGGTCTTCTGAGCGGTGATTTCGACACGATTGTTGTTGTGAGATATATCGAAGTTTGCTCTTGGTGCAACACCATCTCTGCCAGTAGTCGCAATCCGAAGCTTAGCAAGTTTGCCACGCAGTGGCTGTAGCAACGCCCATCCGTGCAGCCGCCGCTGAAACCTAGAGATCTCCGCGTGGCACCACTTGCAGAAGGATCCCCACGTAGCCAATCCTTCATGGTTCTACTGCTAGCGAGCATCTGCTTGCAAGGGAGATTTGCAAGGGGGATCCGCGCCTGATTCCTGCTATTTCCTGCTCGAAATCTCCTGAGTCCTGCCCAAAAACCATATCTGACGTTTATTTCGAGTGCAAAAGCTCTTGCAGCACCAGTCATTCTGACAAGATATCTAGGACCCTTGCCGCTGGATTTGACCATTGCTTGCCCATGCTATGACAGTTCCCCTTCCTCTCAGTGTTGTGAGCATTCCTTTCAGTGTTGTCCAGATTATGACTGTCACTATTGCTTCTCTTCCTCCTCATAGCAGCGCAGCCACCATGTGGGCGCGCAAGCAGGGTGCAGTGGTGATGCAGATACCTGAGCAGCCCCACGCGGGCAACATCTGAAAGCAGCATCTCCAGCAGCTTCACAGAGCTTACTGGTTCTTAGTAGGGAATATATATTCTATAACATAACTTACTGGCCCTTAGTAAGGAATCAGGGAATATATTCTCTACAGGGATGATAGCGATTATATTCCTTTAGCCCTTATTCCCTACCAAGAACCAGTCCGTTGAGATCACTGAGGCCTTGGCAGATTCGAATCCGGCGAGCCCAGGCTTTACAACTCCTGGGCCACTGACTCAGTGATGGCTGGCTTTACAATATGATTGTCATTATTCTTATTATTTGTGATATTAATACTATTATTTGTAATATTGTTATATATCAATATTGTTATTCTTATTATTTTTATTATTACTACCGGAGCCGAAAGCACCTGAACCAGAACAGGAATTTGGGGTGGGTAGCTAAAGTGACAGGGGCAAAGCGCTTGTGGCTTTTCTGGTTGCGCGACACGTCGTTTTGAATAGTTCTTAGTGTAGCAGGCCAGCTGGCGGGGGCACGAATTATCCTCAGCTTTCTGTGCAATGTGTTCGAACCAGGCAAGCTCTGAAATGTGACGCTCCCCTCCAGACAGGGGAAGCGCAGAAGTGAGCTGA